TGTTCGTCATGTTTATGTAACTGAAAGTCATATGAAAAGCATGGTGGAAATAGTAAATTTCAATGGTGGAAATAGGCGTTCCCTTAATTAATTGTTAAAAATGATTTATTAACAATTTCATGTTAACAATTAATAATTAGAAATTTCCATCGCTAGCTGAAACGTAATTAAGGTGTGTAGCACTGTTATAAAATGTTCACACAAGTCAATTCAACTTGCAGTTATTTGATTTTTAACAACTGCCCTATTTTGTTTAGTCGAAAGTGCATCAAGGGTGCGTCGAGTGTAACCCAGGTTCGCATAAGGAGAACTTATTCCTGCACTGCGAATACAAGTAATGCAGGAATAAGTTCTCCTTATGCGAACCTGGGTTACACTCGACGCACCCTTGATGCACTTTCGACTAAACAAGTAGGGCAGCTGTTAAAAATCGAAAAAGATTTCTGTTACTTGATATCATTCGTCATATATTGTGCATAGGGATGGAAAATGTTTTTTATTACGTAATTAAAAACGGGTGATGATTATATTAAAAACAAATTAACTATTCGGACTTTTAATCATCACCTGTTTTAAATCGGTGAAAAAGTGTTCAAAATTGTTTTTTTCCATCCATAATTGTGCATCATTAAATGCATACGTACCTCTATATTGATAATGTATTTAATAGATACAAATTTAAATATTAATACATATACAAATTTAATATTAATACATATACAAATTTAATATTAATATTAATACATATACAAAGTTAATATTAATACATATACAAATTTAATATTAATACATTATATAAGCACTGCCAAGCGAATTCCGGAATTTTAGAAAATATATTATGAAATTCATAATAACCTATTTTTAGAATTGTGGATTTCTTTTAGCGAAAATCATATAGTATACAATATACATCATTTTGTTACCTGGTCTAAAATTACTTGGCAAAATGTATCGTGTTATTAATATAAATAAAAGCAACCCTTTTTTATATATAAAATCGAAAATTTTTAGTTGCTATAGTTAATAACATCTTTTTAAAGCACTCAATTTTCTATATATTTTTCGTATCAAAAAATGAATATTTACAATTATTGTGAAAGAGAGTTTCTTTTAGTTAAATTAAAACATTTAACTAAAGAGTATTTAAATTATAAATCACAATTAGAAAAATTATCTATAATTTCTTCTTTTATTGGATTTATTACTGTAGTAATTGGAAATATTCCAATTTATCTTATTATAAAAGGGATTGATTTAGATTCTGTTAGTTATGAAAGTCTAGATATAAAGAATAGCATTAACAATACCGTCAGTTCAATTGGCATTGAAGGAATTGGAGTTTGTTTTTCAATTTTAATTAGTATTTTTACAATACTAACAACAATCAAAGGTCATGTCAAATTAGAAAAAAATTTTCTCTTCATAAAAATTGATAGAAGAAAAGTTTTACTTTCTTTAGAAGCTACTTCAATTAATAAGATTCAGATAGAAATAAATCGTATCAACTATATAATTAAAAAATTAGATTCAAATATATGTTTTTTTTTCATGTTTGTTTAAGTCTTAACATTGTTATAATTATCTTAATTATTGTTTGTTTTTTTAAATATCACTTAACAATTTATCTTAGTGCAATAGTTTGTATTTTTATGATAGCATCTATAGTAATTAGTGTTAAAAAATTTAATTATGAACGTTTAGGTACTAGTGATATAGAAAATATAAATTATTTATTGTGTGGCTTAAATGAGGATATTAACGAGAGTATTGAGGGAAACATTAATGAAAATGATAATTGGTTACTTGCCTATTCTATTATAACTCTTGCCCCGATTTTTCTTTTTATTTATAATTGTATCCTTTTAAATATCCCTAGCAATGATGATTCTGTTGATTCTCTTTAAATATCACTAGCAATAATGATTCTGTTGATTCTCAAATGCATTTCAACCTCCGCAATAATCAAGACTATATAAATATTTATTTTTATTTGTATTTTTTTAAAATAAATAGTTATAAATGTTTTTATATTTATAATATTAAAGTTATTTTACTGAAATTTGCCCTTTATATACATGGTGAATTAGAATATAGGGATCAATATGACCATTTAAAGTATCAGAAAAGGAATTCGATGATAACAATAAGTAATTTATACTCAATTTTTATTGATTGTTTTCAATAAACCTGATCAATACGAATATAAGGTTTATCGAAATAATATGTTTATAACTTATTTTTAAATATTCTAACTACTGCTATTTTTAGATAAATTGCTAACATTAAGTATTTATCTAGTTATAGTAATGTATGAAAATAAAACTAGTTCTAAACTTTAGATTTGCTATGCTCTGGTAATAATACTGTATGTTGTTTTACTTGATATTACTAAAATAATATATATTAATATTTAAAAATTATTTAAAATTGTTTTTTTTTGTTGTTTTTTTGTTACCATGTCGTGAATAAAATTCCTAACAAACAATTTGAACTAAGAACTTGGCGAGTAATCATGAAAGATAATTGTAGGATATCCAGTTGCAATACAAGTAAAAGTTCCAATAAATTGGTTGAACTATTAAATCAATATTGAACAGTAGATAGAGTGGAAGAGGATGATAATAAAGCATTCAGATACTATGTGACAAGTGAAAAGTCTTTTACCTCGGACAATTCTATCAAATGAGTTTAATGTTGGCCATCACTATGCTTAGGGAAATGGTGTAAAAAAAGATGTGCGTAAATAAAGCATTCGAATATTTTTAGAAATCTGTTAAAATGGTTATGGTACTGGAATAAATCAGCTTGGATTGTGTTATCAACA